AAATGGAAAAAGGTAAAAGCTTCATTGATGACTGAAATGAAAAGATTACAACCTACAGAGGACCTCCCCCGTGAATAACCCACGTGCTGAATACACACACCCTAGCCCCTAAAACTATGTTATTTTGCGCCTGGTTTATAAGTCTAAAATCAAGGGGGGAAAGGCCTAAATTTTCATTTGTTCCTATATTCACTTAGTCATAAAAAACCTAAAATATGCTCTCCTCCTCTCTTCACTCCCCACCGCCACATGTGATAGTAAAACCCAAGCCCACCGCAAATTGGTGGCGTCGACCAACCTAAAACCCCTTTTTAGACTTAGCCTAGTTAAAAAGGTAAGGTTTTACCTTAAATAATGAAGAATGAGCCAAACCAGCCATCTGTAGCCCCCAAAGACCGATGCGGGTGACCTGATCCGATCTGAGGTGTCATATTAGGGCCACCAGAGTGACCCACAATAAAATCTGGAAAAAATTAAAATTTTTGTTAAAGCGCGTAAATCATAAAACAATTTATATTTTAAAAGTAGAATTTAATAATGTCCAGAATTAAAACAGGTTTCAGGCTCAGATATAAAAAGAAAATACAACCTACATGCCACCTAATTACATATTGTACCGTACTCTACAAGCAAAGCCGAATGGAACTCCCAATACTGAAGTTGATAGATACACTGGATCAATTCTTTTAACCTAAAATAGAGAGTTAAAGAGAGAGCTTTGGGAAGCTCAGTAATACAAAACTACCAAGTGATGTTGAAGGTGTAATACCCAAAAATTTAGACAATGACCAAAATGAAAATTTGGAAAATTTGATGGTCAAAGTAGAAAATTGGGAAAAAGTTTAGGGAATTAAGTGATAATATCCTAAAAAGAATTTTATTCCATAAATGGATAGTTTACTCTTGAGAGTGGAGTTTTATAGAAATCATATTTTTGGATTTGGAATTTTAGTAAAGAAAAAAAAAACTAGAAAGAGTCAAAGTCTGATAAGGAATCGGTAATTCCGATCGAATTGGAATTTTACAAAAAATTGAAGGATGTTATAAAATGGTTGGAAATATTATTTTAATATTTTGGATCAGAGAAATTTGGTTTTGAATTGTGCAATTTTTTAGATTTAACCGAAACAGTTGAATTTAGTGACTAAAACACAAGTTTTGAAAATATCATGGCATTTTCGTAATTTATATTTGACTTTGTAATATGATAAGAATCAGATGGCTTGGTGAGTGCAATACATGCATGACATTATACATGGATGTTTTATACATCATCAGGAAGACTTGCGATAAGTCGACCTTGTTTATGTTGACATGATATTTAAATCATTTATCATATATTTGATATATTCTAAATATGTCAAAGGTTGAAAATATAATGCATTAATTATGGAAATTATGATATTTTACCATGAATGTTTTAAGGTATGAACTGCCCAATGTTAAATATTGATAATATACTTTGCCATGGATGAATTGAATAAAATAGACTATATGCCCGAATAAGTCATTGAGGGATAGAGTATAGTTGGCATGCCATAGAGTATAGCAGTTGCAGGTTTATATTAGCACTATAGTGTGTAAGGACACTAAGTGCAGGTTTATGTCCAGATTAGCACTATAGCGTAAGCTTAGTATAGGTGTTGGGCACGACCTTATGTGTATTGTCCGGATTAACACTATGGCGTAAGCTTAGTGCAGGTTTAGCACTACGGTGCAGGTATTTTACTCGAATACCCAGGGTCCTCAAGGTTTAATATTGGGCTATTGGCTATGGATTTTGGTTTATTGGTTAATAAATGGTAACCATGCAAATAAGCTTATGTGCTTACGGAATAATGGCAAGTATATTGGAAAAATAAGCTTATGAGCTTATAGTATTAAATGGTAAATATATTGGTAAAAATAAGCTTATAGCTTATGAAACAAATGGTAAATATATTGATAAAATAAGCTTAGGAGCTTATGGAATTTAAATGGTAAGTATTTTGGTAAAATAAGCTTACAAGCTTATGGGATAAATGATAAGAGATTTTATATTATTTTGATCATGGTAAAATATTGGATATGTTAGTAAAATGATTTTATGGAAAATTGATTTTTGACATTGAAAATCATGCATGAATTGTATTGCACTGTTAAATGTTTTAATTGCCTCACTAAGTATATACTTAGCGTGTGATGATTTTCACGCGTAGGTAAAAAGCCAGTAATGGAATAAAGAGTTTAAAACGTCATCAAAGATCGAGAAGTATATTTCAATATCAGTAAGACATCCTAAGTTGTAATGTTAGTTTTATTAGTGGCATCTAATTATAAATGTTTTATTTATTTTGTTAAACAAATTTGTAAACTAAATGGATTTTTATTGAATTTATATGTATTTTCGAAAGTACTGTAGCATGAACAATAACCACGAATTAAGAGAATTTTTAGAATAATTTTGGGGTACCGATTCCCCCTACAGGGAACCGATTCCCCCACTGTACACTTTTACTGTTCACTATTCATAAAAAAATCTTTTGAATTAAATTTGTTTATAACGTAATATAAATTATATGATATGATATTTTTATATTATCAATTACCAATTAAGGAATTAAAATTCTAAATCGAGTTTTGAAATGAAAATGGTTTTCGAAATTCGGGTGATAGAGATAATCTGTATAGGTATAATTATATCGGTTATGAGTGTTACAGAAGAACATACAGATAAATGGAAAATCATAATTTTTCCTTATTGATTCAGATGTCTATAGGTTTTCGAGATGAGCTGAGGTTCCACTGATATTTCTTCGAGTAAAAGAAATGAAGATTTTAATTCAGAAGAAAATTCAGAGGACCAAGTTTTCAAGAGATCAGAATATGGTGTCTAGTGTGTTCCAACCAAAACCAGTGAAAAGGTACATATCTTTTTAAAACAGTAATTATTTAAAACATATGTTTAAAACCATAGTAATACAGAACTACCAAGTGATGTTGAAAGACATGCAGATAAATGGAAAAGCATAATTTTTCCTTATTGATTCAGATGTCTACAGGTTTTCAAGATGAGTTGAGGTTCCACTGATATTTATTTGAGTAAAAGAAATGAAGATTTCAGTTCAGAAGAACATTCAGAGGACTAAGTTTTCAGAAGATCAGAATATGGTGTCTAGTGTGTTCCAACCAAAACCAGTTAAAAGGTACATATCTTTTTAAAATAGTAATTGTTTAAAAAATATGTTTAAAACCATAGTAAAACCCTCCAACCGAACACCTTTATGAAGTTCCCCAGAATTTCATCCATAAGGACTTACCCCAAAGCACACAACAAAGGAGCCACCCTAAGGGAGTACCTTGGGGCCTGTGGGCTTACCCAAGGGTCTCCTTAGGTCCGTAAGGATTTACCAGCTTGATCAGATTTGAACATCCATACTCCAGAGTCCTACTCATATAGTATCAAGTAGAAATCAAATTGAACATTAACTTTAATATCAAAGTCATGATCCAATAAAATATAATAAGAGTTACAATAAAGTTATTTATATCACATAATTACCCTCCACCCATTCACCATATACAGTCTCATAATTTACCAAAGGGAGTGGCATGGGGCCTTAAAGCCTACCCAAGGTCTCCTTAGGTTTGTAAGGAATTACCAGCTTGATCAGAGCTGAACCTCTATGCTCTAGCCTACCCCGATAATGTCCAAATAAAATAGTTCAAGTAGTATCCAGTAAATCCCATGATCCATAAATCAAGAACGATTATATTTTCTAGTGAAAACAGAAGACCGGAGAACACATATCATGTAGTCTTAGTTCATTATACTAAATCAAAACATCAGTAAATTCGTAATATTAGAAAATCTCATTTTAAAACATGTAAAACAATTACATGTCACATAAGGAACACATTAGAGGATCCAATATTTCTTCGGAGATATTTGACATTTATCAAGTAGGGAACTATGAAACTTTTGCAAATGTTAGGATTTCAGAATCAAGATCATATAGTATTCAGATATTTTTCGGAAGTAATTGATCATTATCAGGAAGGTATTCAGAATCTTTTGCATCAGAGTTGCTTGAGATTTCAGATATAATAGGAGTGATTCCATTATTCAGGAAATCAGGGGCATTTTGGACATTTTGTTCTTGGAGAATTCTTAGTAATTTAATCTAATAAGAGTAACACGGTAGTTTGCATTATTCTGAATGTATATCGCATTATCCTGACTTCGAGTCAAATCGTACTAATTGATTTCGACCTTGTAAAACTTGTCAATAATTCGAACTGATATACTTCACGAATAATCACTTCTTAATATTGATTACACTGTTTGAACTGATTTTTACCTCATAGGGGCAATTTTTTAATTTTATAATCAGGTGATTCTAGTATTAAACCTTTTAACGAAAGTAATTAAAATATAACAAATTCTGAGGTTGATTGCTTTATCGGTTAATCACTGAACCTAAAATTATTTTTTTATCAGTCTTCTAGTAATTGTGTCTTATTCAGTTCCATTACTTTTCATCGCATTTGGAACGAGTTTAGAAATATATTTATTTTACACATGTAACCAAACTTATTCATCTATGCATTAACCAATACCAGTATGTTCCATAAAGCATACCTAAGTAGTAATATATTATATTGATTTCTGTGCTCCACCGATCAAACATTTAAACACCATTCGATCACTCTCGAACTTGAATCCAAAGTCCAATAATATATCGGGCACATATAAAATGAAATTACATCAGAAACGGGGCTTAATTACAGAAAACAGAACAAATGGAAGGTAAAATGCTGAAAATCAGCTTAACGGGTTTAAATTTGGGGAAACGAACTTCAGAGTCGGACTTAGGATGTCGAAAACATAAAATATGACTTCCTCACTCGAATAATAGCGTAGCACCCATATGCTTATTACGTACCCAAGCTTTTCATACATCTTTATGGTTGGTGTATAAGAAGCCCTCACAAAAAGATCCACAAAATATGTCTTCTCACTGCCAAAAGACTACTTATTGATGACTGGAGAAAGAACGAGAATAAACACACCCAAAACGAAACTAGAGAGTGCATCAGGATGACATTAGAGGTAAGAGACTAATTTTCAGTTTAAAAGCACTAGCATGTACTAAAAAAACGCATCATCGTACTTAAGGAGTATACAAGTGAGGGTGATGTCAGGATCTCATAAAAAACTGAGTGAAAGCAAAGCACTTAGCAAAAGAAAAGTATAGACCATTACCTAATTGATGTCAGCTAAAAGCTAGATTCTAAAACAAACACATGGTATAAAAACCTTATAAAAAAATACCCAAATATACATAAAACGTATGTTAATTTCAATGGAAGATATTCTAGTTCTACCTCTACACAAAGGTATAAGACGAAGCTAAAACTTACAGCTTGCATTCATAATGTAGTATTGCTGGCTGAACCATTCTAGCAGTTCATAGAAAGCAACAACTAAAGCATGGTGCAAATTTAAAACTTTAGAACTTTGCAAACTTCAAATTTAGTACTGGGCCCTTAAAATTATATTGAAAAATATAATACTTAGGTAATTTCTAATCTTGTAATGTCCTACAGGCTAACTACAGACACAAGTTAGTCAAACTGATTGTAAAAATATCCAAATCAAGGGAACATTAAATTGCATACCAATTTTACATCTTATCACTGATTTCTTCAAGAAGGTTCATCAGTTTCTTAGCAAGCTGCTGCCTACGATATTCAGGGGAAACAATGACTGCCGTTACATGGCCATGCCAAGACTCACCTTGTCCCTCAACTTTCCCCATAATGTAAACCATTATTCGTTTTCCAGGGCCTTCAGCTACTTGAAAATAATCGGGCCAACGAGCTAAATACATCAAGTAGAATGACATATTAAAGGTTTTGGTTAAATGGTCAAGATTGACGGAAGTGAAACGAAGGAGATTGTTGCAGCAAAATCGGCGTATCATTGTCATCTCTCTTAGTCTCGGAAAGTCGGCCGAAATGGAAGCTTTAATGAAACGCAGAGCTGCCGTAGTTGTAAATCAAGCTTGAATATTGAGAACCCTTACCAACGATGACCGGAGAAAACACGACGGTGGTAAGCACCTTGGGTCGAGTTTTGTGCGGAACAGGTCGGGGAACACGTTGGTGATGGTGGTGAGGCGAGACGGTCGCTGGATCGACCAGAATCGATGAAAATAGCAGCGATGAGGTTAGGTTATTTTGTCGAAGCTTTTCGACTAAAATCATGACGACAGATGACATTTCACTACAGTATGATGGAGGGATTTTGGTCGCCAGTCAACGACGAATCGAACGGGGGTAGTACTTAGACGAACGGTGGCCGGACGACGAAGATTTGGGGAGGCCGGTGAGTTTTTGGTTGGGGTTTAGGGATTTTATTTCACGAAATTGGGGTATTTTCCTTTTTATTTTTCACTGACCAAAAAATGGAATAATTCTATGTTTAGTCCCTAAACTCCCTAAATATTCAAATTTAGGCTACAAGGTTCCAAAACTTTCAATTTAGTCCCTAATTCATTACATTTGGGGTGTTACAATTCTTTCATCCTTAAAAAAAATTTCGTCCTCGAAATTTTCTCAAGTCATAGAAATGTAGAAACTGGGCTTCCATCCGATCTTCATTCTCTTGGGTATCCTTTACAAGTATATGATTCTTCTACTAAACTTTAACCAGCTGAATAAACATTCTCGACCAACTCTTTTTTATCCGAATTCTAAAACTTGAACAAAATTCTCCTCATAGAACTAAACATACCTTAATTATCAATTCTTAATCAAAATAATACTTGCTTAACTTCAATGCAACATACATATATAATTGATTTCTTTCATATTTAATGGAACCACCTCGAGAACTACACTTTTACCATGAACACCTCCTCTTTCTTTTAATCTCATATTGCTCAAATCATTGAGGAAAAAGGCTCAACACTTACTGGGTTTCAAACTCATAAAATTGGAAATAACATGATTCCAAAAGTCTTCAATTCAGTACATCAATACATAACTTTTGAGGCATAACACCCTGTCTAGGTTTGGACCAAATACCTTATTTTCTGATCTACTTGAGTTGCATAACTTAATAACAAAACTTTACTTATAAAGTTTGGTTATGAGCTTATCAGCATAGAACATTTGGGGAGTAACAAAATTCAAATTTGGGTTGAGAGTCAGGTCAAATATATAAAATAATTAATTGATCATGTTACATGTAGGTAACTTCTAAAATTAGGATGAATGCTAACATTATTCCCTTTTTGTACAGATTGAGTAATAACAGATAAAATACTTTGATATACTTATTACAGAATGATTTCTTAACATGAGAATTCTGACTCATAGAGTACGATCATAATCTAGGGGCATGTACAAATCAGACATCCTATGACTATCGACCGGCCGATCTATCTAGAAAAACTCGGCTCAACCTAAGTTCTGATACCACTAAATGTAACCCCTACAGACAGATGCGGGTGACCCGATCTGATCCGAGGTGTCACATTAGGGCCACCAGAGCGACCCACAGTAAAAATCTGAGAAAAATTAAATTTTTTGTTAAAGCACGTAAAATCGTAAAATAATTTATATTTTAAAAGTAGAATTTAACAATGTCCAGAATTAAAACAGGTTTCAGGCTCGGATATAAAAACAAAATACAACCTACTTGCCCCCTAATTACATATTGTACCGTACTCTACAAGTAAAACCGAATGGAACTCCCAATACTAAAGTTGATAGCTGCACTAGATCGATTCTTTTAACCTGAAATAAAGTGTTAAATAGTGAGCTTTGGAAGCCCAGTAATACAGAACTACTAAGTGATGCTGAAGGGCATGCAAATAAATGGAAAAACATAATATTCCTTATTGATTAAGACATCTACAGGTTTTCGGGATGAGCTGAGGTTTCACTGATATTTCTTCGAGTACAAAAATGAAGATTTCAATTCAGAAGAACATTCAGAGGACCAATTTTTCAGGAGATCGTAATAGGGTGTCTAGTGTGTTCCAACCAAAACCAATGAAAATGTACAAATCTTTTTAAAACAGTAACATTTTAAAACACATGTTTATAACTATAGTAAAACCCTCCAACTGAATACCTTTATGCAATTCCCCATAACTGCATCCATAAGGACTTACCCTAAGCACACAACAAAGGTACCACCCTAAGGGAGTACCTTGGGACCTATAGGCCTACCCAAGGGTCTCCTTAGGCCCGTAAGGATTTACCAGCTTGATCAGAGCTGAACCTCCATACTCCAAAATCCTACCCATACAATATCCATTAGAAATCAGATTGAGCATTAACTTTAATATCAAAGTCATGATCCCAAAAAATATAGTAAGAGTGACAATAAAGTTATTTATATCATATAATTACCCTCCACCCATACACCATATACAGTCCCATGATTCACCCAAGGGAGTGCCTTGGGGGCTTAAAACGTACCCAAGGTCTCCCTAGGTTCGTAAGGAATTACCAGCTTGATCAGAGCTGAACCTCCATGCTCCATCATATCCAGATAATATCCAAATAAAACAGTTCAAGTAGTATCCAGTAAATCCCATTTTCCATAAATCATGAACGATTATATTTTCTAGTGAAAATAGGAGGTCAGAGAACACATATCATGTAGCTGTAGTTCATTAACAATAAATCAAAACATCATTAAATCCATAATTTAGAAAAATCATGTTTTAAAGTAGGTAAAACAATTACAAATCACATATGGAACACACTAGAGGATTCAATATTTCTTCGGAGGTATTTGACATTTATCAAGTAGGGAACTATGAAACTTTTGAAATTTTTAGGATTTCAGAATTAAGATCATATAGTATTCAGATATTTTTCGGAGGCAATTGATCGTTATCAGGAAGGTATTCGGAATCTTTTGCATTACAGTTACTTGAGATTTCAGGTATGACAGGAGTAATTCAATTATTATAGAAATCAGGGGCATTTTGGAAATTCGGTTCTTGGAGAATTCTTAGTAATTTAATCTAATAAGAGTAAATTGATAGTTTGCATTATTCTGAATTTATATCGCATTATCCTGACTTCAAGTCAAATCGTACTAATCGATTTCCACCTTGTAAAACTTGTCAATAATCTGAACTGATATACTTCATGAATAATCACTTCTTAATATTGATTATACTGGTTGGACTGATTTTTATCTCATGGGGGCAATTTCATAATTTTATAATCATGTGATTCCGTTATGAAGCCTTTTAATGAAAATAATTTGAATTTAACAAGTTTTTAGGTTGATTGCTTTATCGGTTAATTACTAAACCTGAAGTTATATTCTTATCAGTCTTCCAATATCTTATACGTGTAATTGAGTCTTATTCAGTTTATTTACTTTCCATTGCATTTGGAACGAGTTTAGAAATATATTTTTTCACACATGTAACCAAGCTTATTCATCTATGCATTAACCAATACCAGCATGTTCCAGAAAGCATACCTAGGTAGTGATGTATTACCTTGATTTTTGTACTCCACCGATCGAACATTTAAACTCCATGTGATCACTCTCGAACTTGAATCCAACGTCCAATAATATCTCCGATTCATATAAAACGAAATTACATCAGAAACGAGACTTAATTGCGGAAAACAAAACAAATCAAAATGTAAAATGCTGATGGGGAAACGAACTTCATATTCGGACTCAGGACATCGAAAACATAAAATATGATTTCCTCACCCGAATAATAGCGTAACACCCTTTTGTATATTATGTACCCAAGATTTTCATACATCTTTATGGTTGGTGTATAAGAAGCCCTCACAAAAAGATCCACATAATATGCCTTTTCACTGCCAAAAGACTACTTATTGATGACTGGAGAGAGAACGAGAATAAAGACACCCAAAACGAAACTAGAGAGTGCATCAGGATGACATTAGAGGTAAGAGACTAATTTACAGTTTAAAAGCACTAGCATGTACGAAAAAAACGCATCATCATACTTAAGGAGTATACAAGTCAGGGTGATGTCAGGATCTCATAAAAAACTTAGTGAAAGGAAAGCAAGTAGCAAAAGAAAAGTATAGACCATTACCTAATTGATGTCAGCTAAAAGCTAGATTCTAAAACAAACACATGGTATAAAAACCTTATCAAACAAATACCCAAATATACATGAAACGTATGTTAGTTTCAATGGAAGATATTCTAGTTCTACCTCTACACAAAGGTATAAGACGAAGCTAAAACTTACAGCTTGCATTCATAATGTAGTATTACTGACTGAACCTTACGACCATTCTAGCAGTTCATAGAAAACAACAACTAAAGCATGGTGCAAATTTAAATCTTTAAAACTTTGCAAACTTCAAATCTAGTACTCGACCCTTAAAATTCTATTGAAAAATATAATACTTAGGTAATTTCTAATCTTGTAATGCCCTATAGGCTAACTACAGACACAAGTTAGTCAAACTGATTGTAAAAATATCCAAATCAAGGGAACATTAAATTGCACACCAATTTACATCTTATCACTGATTTCTTCAAGAAGGTTCATCAGTTTCTTAGCAAGCTACTGCCTACGATATTCAGGGGCAACAATGACTGTCGTTACATGGTCATGCCAAGACTCACCTTGTCCCTCAACTTTCCCCATAATGTAAACCATTATTCATTTTCCAGGGCCTTCGGGTACTTGAAAATAAGTGGTCAAGATTGACGGAAGTGAAACGAAGGAGATCGTTACAGCAAAATCAGTGTATCGTTGTCATCTCTCTCAGTCTCGGAAAGTCGACCGAAAATGGAAGCTTTAATGAAACGCGGAGCTGCCGTAGTTGTAATTCAAGCTTGAATCTTGAGAACCCTTACCAACGATGACCGGAGAAAACACGACAGTGGTAAGCACCTTGGGTCAGGTTTTATGCGGAACAGGTCGGGGAACACATTGGTGACAGAGGTGAGGCGAGACAATT